TGTATCCAAAAGAAGTATGTTCAGCCATTCCTTTTACCCTGGCCAACTAGCTAATAATCAATCTTAAAATGTGGTGACGTAATCTGATTAATGTTCATTTTATGTCCCAAACTTATTATTATTACTGTTATTCTTCTTCTTCTTCTTCTTCCTATTATTATTATTATTATTATTATTATTATTATTATTATTATTATTATTATTATTATTATTACTGTTATTATTACTATCATCATTACTATTATTGTCTTTACACTTGATAACCCCTTTTTGATGAATTTATTCAATATCCACCCCTGAATCTACTATATTTGACGTAATTATTTCACATATTACGTAATTTCCGATTTGTAATCACAATATTCTCTCTCTCTCTCTCTTACCCCATATTGACCATATTTATTCTGATCATTTATCTCACAATTTCATTTCGCTTATAAACTGATTCAAGTTAACACTTCATATTAGTCAGCCCCAACATTAACGATTTTATTTTATATAACAAACAATTCCTGATTCACATATTACGATTTCCACATGATGTACTTTGCCTTAAATTTGGCCAATTTTATGGATTATTAATTTGGATTTATAATTGTAGAACCTGATGAGAAATTATTGAAAAGAATATTCTTCGTTCATACAATTGTGTTTTTAAATAAATTCTTCATTTTTAAATAGAATGTGTTCATTAATTCAATCACCACTGAATGAATATGTACTGATTAGACTAATGGATTTTTCTCTAAACTTTACCAGTAATTACATTGTTCTCTGTAACTATATGATGTAAAGACATTGCGAAATTTTCGTGTTATAATTAATGGGGCATCTCGATCCTGATCAATTCATTTCATTTAGTTCACCCAATTAATATTTCGACAACCATTCATAAAAACAAAAATATCGTATAATTATCAAAATTATACTTCACGTTTCTTCGTTATGTAAACTGAATTTCTATTTTATAGACATTTTTAATTAACTTCACTTCCTAGATTTCATCCTTATGTATGTGTGTTTGGATAGATCAAATGTATTTATTTACTTACCCAGTAAACATTTATTATCCACTAACATAATCTGATACTCTTGTAATCAAACCATGACATAGTTTCAAACTGCGCTAATCATTAATGGCTTTTCTCGGGTTATTTTATGATCTTGAAAACTAGTGGTACTATGAATCAATCTTAATACTTATTGTTATAAGTATAAAGTATTCATAGTTTGCATCACGGATTAATTTCATTTAAACAACCACTAAAAACAAGGAAGCACTAAAAAGATATTCCGTCCTATTATCGAACTACTCGTGGAAGCACCCTACTAAGAATTTCCATACTAGGATGTAGCAGCTTCCCAATTCTTCTTGGTTTTTAATGACTGTCAAACTAAGATCAGTCCATGATGTAATCTATGAAATACTATACGAACTTCCCATAGTTATAAACACTATTGAATTGGCGATACTTTAAGGAATTAAAATATCATAATAACCCACACTTCTCTATAGAACAACTAGTCGGGTATAAAGAAAATTAAAATATTGATGGGAATTATGGCATATATATATTGGACCTTGATTAAAAAAAGAATATATTCTACCTTATCATTTCATTATGTATAAGACAAAAAACTGACTTAAATGTGAATTTATTCGATTAGTCGCTTTTGTTCATGAATTATGAATGTAATGCTACTGTCAACTGAAACCCATTCGGTTAATAAATACAAAGAAATCGATGATGACACTTTTATTGAATAAAACTTCAATGACTAACCTCTTCTCAGTTTTCTATTTTAAAATGATATACAGTTAATTCAAATAACTCCTTTGTACAAGGTTATTTGTCTTAGTATGATTATTGATAAAAGTCCATAGGTTCCTTTTATGAATATATTGATAAGACTATTGTTTAATATTTATATTGAATCATTAAAGTTTTGCCTATTTCTCTTTCAGTTTTCATGCCTTCTTTTGTGATTGTCATTCGTTTATGTCTTCAAATATTATGAATTTCAAGAATTAATCTTAACAAATAAATAACTACTGAGGAGTCCTACAATAAGACAGGATAGTCATTCAGTGCTTCCAGGTTTTCCATGATGATCTAGCTTCAATTGACTTATGATCTCAACTAATAAAATAAATAACTGTTAGCTATAATTATGATATCGTTTACAAAATCCATTCTATTGTGTACAATTATTAAATTATATATAAGTGGAAGTAATATATTGAAGTATTGTAATCGAAACCAGATAGTGAACAGCAAAAGATAGACTAGTTTCAATGCATGTTACTTACTTTTCTACATTTGGATAGAATGAAGCTAAGGAGGTCAATTCATAACGATTAGTTGCCAAAAACGTGAAAGCCTGAATTAACAAACAGCGTCAAGCATTTCAGTCATAGGTGATGACATAAGAAAAAAATAAGAGCAAATTATATGACATGAATTTAAAGTTTTGACTTGTATACTTTTTGAGTGTTAGTTCTAACTATTCATCCATTTATGATATGATCATGATCCATCTTGAGAATCAGCTTATTATGGCTAAGTACAATGAATTCCTGTATTGTTAGCTTCAACTGACTATTAAATGATTGTTAAATCATAACAGAACTAGATAACAATTTGGCTGTTATTAAATACTAATGCTCTACTTCTAAAAACCAGAAGAGTTAATAATAAATATATTTTTGTTATATCCCAATCGGTAGAAAAATTGTATTCCTGACGTTTCGTGACTTCATGTAAGCCACTTCATCAGAGTAAATAAAAAAATTTTCTACTCATTCGGATATAACAAAAATATATTTATCACTAACTCTCTATCCAAAGCTCAAATTATTTGAAACTATTAAATCCAACCTTGGTATTGATACCTACAAAAGAATTAAGGGGTTATTATTCAGCTCTTGATGTGACCGAAAAAAAAGGTATTTAAGCTGCATCGAGGCATGTGTGATCGGTTGAATGCTCTAGTTTAAGTGTTGATTATATAGTTCAGATTGTCCATAATAGTATTAATGATCTGCTTACAAATCACATAGTGATAGTGAAATAATAGCTGAGAACAATACTTAACGTTTGTTAATCTAGAATAGTTTTCAAATGCTAATTTGCTTGATTTCCAGAAAATAACACGGCATAGCAAGTAGATAACTTTTAATTACACAGTTCTAATCGTATGACTTCTTTCATTTAATATTATTATAGACAAAATCATAACCACACATCAACATAATTAAGAAATTACAATATAGGGGTAACTATGTCATAAATGAAACGGAATTGAGTAATAGGTCTGTAAAAAAGTAACATCGACCTAAGAAAGGTACAGTACTTGACAACGGTTTATTTATCATAAAAAATGTATGGGTAAGAGAATACATAGATTCAACAATTGAAGTACTCAACGATTAAGCAATAATAATGTGAACAAAAACTATAAATCAAACAGTTCTGAAAGCTCAGCTTGCCTCATATTCACTCCGTTATAGTGAAATTGTCAATAATAATTACTTTTTAGAAGTATTAAAAAATTAAACTAAAACTGCGGAAACTAAACATAAGTAAATGAACTCCAGTGACATTACAAAGTTAGGTATGTGAACAATTTTTAATACGTAGATCCATCTATAAGTTAATGGATTCTATAACTGTGTGAAATCTATGAAGAGAATATATTTTTGATTCCAATCCCGTACTAGAAATAATCATTGAATTTGACTAAAATGGACCTATTATGTTTACTAGATACAGAACAATAAGTATGTGTGTTGCAAAACCTTTTTACATTCTGAACTCACTTTATGTTCCAGTAATGCTTCACAGATAGCCCAGTTGAGATATTCAACTTCATCAGGGTCAGTATCTCAAAGAGAAAAGAATTTTAAGTTTAACGATTAGTGAACATGTTTTGAATATGATGAAATTTTTTCGTCAGAGTTTAAATAATCAAATGCGTACAAATTCCTTACCAAGTTAAAATCATCAGGAAAAAAAGGTTAGTGAGATAAAGTCTATCTATCTAAAGCCCAAAATCATGTCAAACAGTAGTAACGTTGAATCATGTATTGTTAAGCTATCCAAATCAAAAATATTTTCAGAGGTAAATATTTACTGTGAAAATAGATCAAGTCGGAAATTGATGTTGATTAGGTTCATTTTTTGTTTTACTAATAAGAAACTCATAGATGACTAAAAGTATTCATAACACAAAAAGTCATGTTTTTTTTATATTTATAAAGTAAATAACAATTGGTAAGTAATGATAATATTACATCTTCTATGATTAACAAAATAACAATAAATAATACTTTGATTCATTTCCCCAAAAACTATATCATTTAAATGGCTGTGTATTTGAACCAAATCGAGATGACTTCTTTAATCATACAATTCTATAAATACAATCTGATTTCAAACCTGAATAGGTCACCTTAATCTTGTATAACTTCTTAGACTCAATACATTGTTGTCACATCAGTTATAATTGATGATATTAGAAAGTTAAGTATAAAGATTAATGGTTGGATTTATTTCTAACATAGCACAAGTGTAAGCCGAAAAATGAAATAAATGCATAAGTTATACAACAACAAATAAATCAGTTAAAATATTTTGTCAAGAACTTATGTAGATAAGCTACTACAAGTCATTTAGTTTAATAACTGAAAAACATCCATTTAATTAATGACTGTAAATTATCTAAATATTAAACTGAAAAGTTATAACTGGAAACATAAAGTTCTAATATCTTATTGTGGTGCTGTTGGGACGGTATATTCCCAAAATTCATATTTGTAATTTTATCATATCGATTGACTCATCGATTAAATATTTGGAAGGAAGTCACATGATGAACTTATCGACTAAATATTCGAATGCCTGTCGAGTGATGAACTGAATGAGTCATGTTTAAAAAAACATTTTAATATGACAATATCGATTTTATATATTTATATATATATATACGTTCAAAATTGTGTCTGAGCCTTCGCTACTGTTCGCTGCTGCTTGCTTGCTTGCTCGCTCGTTTTCTGGTTGTATGCAGAATATATTTTCCATACCAAGCCTGGACTTCTCCTTCTAGTTAGCGGGGCTGGGACGCGTCAATAGTTAGATTACTGGTCTTTGGTCATTGAGTATTGTTCTCGTTCGCAGTCTAAGTGAACCCGTGAAGCTTCAAACCTAACAATTTGGCGACGGTGATTACGGAAATATGGATCCATCTAAACTTGAATTATTACTCGAGCAGCAGATGAAACTTATTCAAATGTTAGCAGATGCAAAGCTTACATCTAATTCTCAACCAAGCAGTTCTAATCCTATTACTACTGCACCATCAGTTGATGGTATTGCTAACAGTATCTCCGAGTTTCATTACGATCCAGAATCCAATGTCACGTTTGATATGTGGTTTCGACGTTACGAAGACTTGTTCAAATTTGACTTTGCCAACCAGGATGATGCTTGGAAGGTCCGCTTGCTGCTTCGAAAGTTGGGTCCTAGTGAACTAGACAAGTATTGCAATCTAATTCTGCCTTTAAACCCACGCGATCGTTCATTCTCCGACACTGTCCAGTCATTGAGCCAACAATTCGGAGACAATTCCTCACTATTCAATGCGCGCTATCGATGTTTGAAGCTCACTATGAACGAAGATGATGATTTTCTCACACATGTGGGTATTGTCAACCGAGAATGTGAACGCTTCCGATTGAAGTCGCTTACTGAAGATCAATTTAAAGCACTCATTCTCATCTGCAGCCTTCAATCGCAGAAGTTCAGTGATATTAGAACACGTTTGCTAAGTCGATTGGACCAAGACCCAAAACTAACTCTTAATGATATTGCAAATGAATATCAACGTCTAATCAATCTACAGCGTGATACTACAATGGTCCAGCGTGGTGGTTCAAATCGTACCGAAGTTCATGTAGTCCAACAACCACTCAACTCGCATAAATCTGCCCCAGCGACATCTAGTTCAGGTCGACAGACAAAAACAAATCCTCCTGCTCCATGCTGGCACTGCGGTGCATGGCATTTTGTTCGATACTGTCCATATAAGCAACATCGGTGCAGGAAATGTAATGTGGTGGGTCATAAAGATGGTTTTTGTCGAAAAAAGAAGCCGAGCAACTCCAGAGGTACCAGAAAACCTACGCCTAGATCCAACACGAATTCGTTGAGTCTAATAGCAAGCTGTGAGAACTCAACCCCAGTTGAGAGGAAATTTATTACCCTTAATATTAATGGGCACCCTCTTAGATTGCAAATAGACACTGCATCTGATGTAACGATTCTCTCACGAAAATCTTGGATCAGAATGGGAAGACCACGCCTGGTGCCGACAACACAAAAACCGCGAACCGCATGTGGTAATTATCTACGGTTGTTGGGACAACTAGATTGTAAAGTGTCTTTTCATGATTCGACGTTTACCGGGTTATGTTACATTACACCAGCTGATCTTAATCTACTTGGGTTAGACTGGTATGACCGGCTACAGTTAGCTGACGTTCCGTTAAGCACCGTATGCCATCTGGTTGAACAACCTCATGAACCTGAATCATATTCGAAAGAACCAATGACGGAGTTTTCGACCAGCGAACATCATACGGCCGGCGAAGATGCAGTTATTGCCTCCCCATTGACAGAGGACCGCGCACAGTGTCAGCAAGCAGCCAAGTGTAACGCGAAATTATTGCCGGTCCCATGGCCACAGCCTGAGTATCCCTGGTCCAGGATACATGTCGATTTCGCAGGCCCAATTAATGGAATTACCTATCTAGTCGTTGTTGACGCCTTTTCGAAATGGCCAGAAATCGTTCCCGTCGTGCCACCAACGACAACTCAAACGATACAACTTTTGACAGAGATGTTCTCTCGCAACGGGTTACCGGATATAATCGTTTCCGATAATGGTTCGCAATTCACCTCAAGTCAATTTCAAGAATTTTGCGAACGCCTATCGATCAAGCATTTCCGCTCTCCACCTTATCACCCACAGTCAAATGGACAAGCAGAAAGATTTGTAGATACATTCAAGAGAGCTCTAATGAAGTCGAAAGGGGAGGGGACGACAGTAGAAACACTGCAGAATTTCTTGTTTGTTTACCGAACAACACCTAATGATATGCTACCACAGCAGAAGTCCCCGGCAGAGATCCTGATGGGAAGGAAATTGAGGACGATCCACAGTCTCATGTGCCCAAGAACCACACCACCACCATCCCATACCAAATCTCAGAAGCTTCCAGCGTACGAGGTTGGATGCCCCGTGTTCGCTCGAGACTACAGAGCAAATCATGGTCCTTGGATCGAAGCACGTGTGGTTGGAAGACTAGGTCAAGTTATGTACGAGGTAAAGGTGGGAAGAGACACGTGGACTAGACACCGAAACCAACTACGTAAGCGGATTGCCCCAGACCACCCATCAAATGGAGTAAATCTTCCCCTCGACATCTTGCTTGATACTTTCAACTTACCTGCAGCCCCATCACAAGAAGCTCGACAGCAAGCTGATCCCCGTCCCAGAAAGTGGCCTCTCCGTCAGCGGCGAACTACAGTCAAAATGCAAGTCGACCCCAGAAAAGCACGCTATTAAAAAGGGGAGGAGTGTTGGGACGGTATATTCCCAAAAGTCATATTTGTAATTTTATCATATCGATTGACTCATCGATTAAATATTTGGAAGGAAGTCACATGATGAACTTATCGACTAAATATTCGAATGCCTGTCGAGTGATGAACTGAATGAGTCATGTTTAAAAAAACATTTTAATATGACAATATCGATTTTATATATTTATATATATATACGTTCAAAATTGTGTCTGAGCGTTCGCTACTGTTCGCTGCTGCTTGCTTGCTTGCTCGCTCGTTTTCTGGTTGTATGCAGAATATATTTTCCATACCAAGCCTGGACTTCTCCTTCTAGTTAGCGGGGCTGGGACGCGTCAATAGTTAGATTACTGGTCTTTGGTCATTGAGTATTGTTCTCGTTCGCAGTCTAAGTGAACCCGTGAAGCTTCAAACCTAACAGGTGCGTGCTACTTACATTGATATAAGTAGTATATTATGTGAGTCAGTAATGAAATGTCTAGCAGCAGAAGATGAGGGGAGATCAAGAAAGCAAGAGCGGGAATAAAATGCAATTCGTATGAAAATGTAAGAACAATGAAGTCTGAGGCATTACTAATAATGGCATGAGAAAATCTCAAAGCGATCGTTTTCATTTTCTAAGAATAGTAAGTATCGACCAAGTGAGAATAAATAGAAACCACTCGAAACAGTCTTAAGATATTTCTCATATTATGACACTGTCAACTTACTCTTAAATTTTATCAATTAGCTATAAACTGTCTAACTTTGGCTTATTATTATCTCACCACTTTTGATTTCGTCTATTTATAATTCATGCTATTTTATTTTACATGATTTATGAGTTATATGATGCATCATTCTGTTCGAGATCAAACTTCATTTGTAAAAGAAAAAAAAATCATAACCCATTTTAATATTTTTCCTATAAAGAGAACAAGGAACGTATATTGCCACAACGAAATAAACTTACTTTGGCATAAACCATCGATAAGAATAATAGATGATCTGGAGAAATTTTGTAAAATATAAGTTAATTCTCTTATCTGTAATGTAGAAAAAAAAACATTTCAACAGTATTTACGCATGAATTATCATTAGACGTCAATTGGTGTTATATATTTTTGACATTTTATACTTTGTATACATGGTCGATAGCATTCGATCTGCACTAAATAAGGACTTGACACACATGACATTGATCACCACCCAGTGATCAATCAACTGTGATTACATCTCAGTCCTACAGAAGGTCAGTCGTGGCACGGATAGCTCTGACTCAGGTTTTCCTGTCGACTACCTCCAATCACCATCTAATACTTTGTATACATGTATTGTTCTGCATAGTCAATTTAAATTCAAATGAGCGACATCTCAATAAAATCTATTTATCTACAGCATTTTGATACACAAAACTATATTGTGGTATATGCTACTTGTATTGACAGATATAAGTAGTATGTAACACCGGTTAGTTGTAGAGTGTTTACAATAGAAAATTGAATTGAAGAAAACAGAAAAGGAAACTGAAATTAATTCTAATGACAAACAGAATTGAAAAAGTCATAAAGTATATAAAGGATAATTGATGTAAGATGTTCAAATTATTTATTTACTGTATGATTTTCATATAATTTTACATTAATCAATAAATTACTTATCCCCATCATCATGTCTTTGTTCATTACAATATAATCAACAATGTATTGCATTGTTATATGTTTAATATCTTAAATTTTAATTAAGGTATTTAACAAGTAAAATATTAGTAAATTGAGAAATAATTCAAAGTTATAGAATGGCACATAACAACACACTATATCAATTCATGATTGCAAAAAAGCTATAATATAATCAAAGAAAAAATAATTTGAATAAAATGCAATTCAATTGAACAACTTATTTGTAAAGTTTGTATTTTTACAAGTAAAGGAGCAGTATCAGAAATTACGATCAAAAATTGGATTAATATAGAATTTATAGAAAACAATAAGAATGATGTATGCTAACTGACTTACAAATTAAGTGTTAATTATAATTTGATTTCATTAAGAAAAAAAGACATTGAATATTGTGAATAGATAGTGAGAAATATATATAAATGTTATTTAAATAAGCGATTAAATTAAGCATTTGTGTGTAACTATGTAATGAACAAGAACATGGGTGGGGACAATCTGATGTACTTAGCATGACAATTACAGACTATCTCAATAAAATCTAAATACCATATAGTAAATCGTCAATTTACAAAATTTTCAGGCATCAAACCAAACTGGACTGTTTCTGTTGCAAACACCAATCCATTGTCTCTCGTACCATCGTTTATGCGTTTTCTTACAAGTTTCATTGTGTTCTCGCTCTACCTTTCTTGATCTTCGCCATCTTCTGCTGCCGGACATTACGTTCTTTTAACGCATGTTATATACTACTTATATCAATATAAGTAGCTCACACCACAGCTTCATTAACGGTCGATGAAAGCAACTACAGTATTCGTTAAACATTTGAATGTTCTTTATTTAAATGTTTTTGAGATTTTCAGTAAGTACAATTAGTGTATTTTACAAGTCATTTTTAGGTAAAACCCTTAATTTCGAACCATTTGGTTAGAGATCAAAATTCTATATCACTAACATTGGTTTTAATAGTTGAGTTATAAGAAAGTTTTGTTCTTTGTTGTTAACTTTCAACAAATGAATCTAAATACAAGATTAAACCGATAACTCAATATTATTCATTTAATTCTCACCTAGTAATCACATTTATTGACTTGATTTCTCTTATAGGTTCATTTAAAATATTCATCTTTTTCAAATATTACACAGTATAAAATTAATCTAAGAGTTAGTAACACTTAATCACAAATTTTAGTTTAAACTATGAATGAATCATTTACATTGATTGACTTACTTCATTAACAAAACTAGATTCCCCTAAAATTATATCATCTTGTCCTTCTGTATGAAAGAATATTTGATCAGTAACACGTACTGAAGTGAATTCAGCTGGAACAAATGAACCTATTTGTGCTAAAATTTGTATATATGCAATTTGTCTAAGATAAGTTGTTTTTCCACACTAAAAAAAAATAAATACACAGACAAACAAAATATCATAAATGACATATTAAAAGGGGTAGTCGTTTATGAAACAGTATTTATTCTTGATAAATATCTATTTCTTAGATATCCTGTAGTTACTATGAACAATTCAATTTAGGTAAATGTTTCCGAAATTACTAGATACAAATGTAAAATATCTTGATAATAATAATAGAATTTATTAGTTGTAGTATTAGGGCTTATTTAGTATTTCCACATGCGAATCATCATTACATATTAGACGTAAATTTAAGTTAGTTTATAGAAGTTCACTAGGTTCTATAACACCATTTACAACAAAGTTCAGTATCTCAAGAATTGTACACTCAACTTCTTTAACTCACAGTCTTTGTATGAATGTTTTAAAACTTGTTTTGAAAAAGAAAAAGAAAATAATAATCACTTACCATGGGAGGTCCGGTTATAACATGAAAGTTCAAAGCAGGTGATGCATACTACAATGAAATATAAAATAAGAATATTGTGATTATTAAACTTGTATGTTACCGTATGATTTGCCACAGATAATGATTTCTTTTCTTCATCAGTAACAATATTTCGTCCATTTTTAATCCCAAGTATATTATTAAATATTGGGCAAACTATACAAAAGGTAAAAAAAACATTGGTTTACATTAAATCATGAACAAACCATTTTCTTAAGTTTATCATTGCACAACACCACTATTTTCAGAAACATTTTATAAACTTAAATAGTTCATACTTACCATATAATAGATGGAGATTATATTAAATTATATTGAAAGATTAACATAAGCAAGTCTTATGGAGTGAGTTGGGAGAAAGTTAGTGACGGTCATGTTAAAATGTAGCACCCGTCCATGGAGTCATTCATTGTCGATCTGAGCAGAGTTAGTGTATGCAGATAACCTGGTTCGAGTTCGAGCAAGTGCTACATGGCTTATAACCGTTTACAGTGGTTCAGTTGAATTAACTAGTTACTTTAGTCTAGATCTTCAGTTTCATTATTCTTTTGTATTTATCTTTTTTTATTTTCTTTTTTCTAGCCATATCCTTAATTTTACTCGTAAGGGTTTGAGTTATACTCTTGTTGATGTTCACTACTGATCTTTGAGCAGTCCTAATTGGTAATAGGTATAATGTGCGGATTACCTCGATATATCCATTTTGTCTCAAGTTTATACAGAATTGATAAAACAATGTTTAGATTAACTAAAATTAACACACCAATTAAATTGAATAACCATAAAAAGATAGTTCAGTCACATTTTGTTCTCATTTCATGGACTTTTGTAGGTATAAAGATTTTCTATGGTATCAGTAATATCCAAAACTATAAACTACTCGAATATACCTCATAAAAGTAAAAAATTGTTGTGGCCAGTTATATCTGGTATAATTAGCTATCTGTCGTTATCACTCTAATTAACAAGAATGTGAGTTAATTTGAGAACTGATGTTTGACTTTGTTACACCCGAATAATATACATCTTTTATAGAACGGAATTTGGAATGATACCAGTTCTAGTGAAGTGACATCATTGTAGGGAGTATGAATCTATTTACATTCAATAATAATATATGAGATGGATATAAAATATTTCGACGAAAAATATTTGATTCTAAGGTTAACAGAATAACCTTGTAAATTTTGTTACTATTTTCAAAGCCAAGTGAAAAGCTGATTAATATAGCAAAGGAAAACCGTTTGGTTAGATATCAATATTTAAACAGAAATGTATTTTGTACATACCGAAATGATTTCTGAGAGAATAAGTTAATGACATTTTGGCGAATGAGGCTAATAGATCCAGACCTGCGATTACTTCTGACAAACGATAAAACAGTGCCATATCTGGATGCAGTCCAGTAATTAAGTCGCTAATAATTCTAGAATTGATAATTAAAAATAGTTAAAATTTCAATCTACGTTCCTGCAATAATGATTACATACAACATAAGCCTTTGAGATGTCCTGAATTTCCTAATAAGTAATTAATATATATAAACAAGGATATAACTAAGTTCACTTGTTACGACCAGCCTCATATTTATTAGAACAGTAAGTTAAGGTTTGTCAGACGAATGCATCTGCATCCCAAAGTTGGTTTTCACTCCAGGACTTGAACACAGTTCCGTTCTCTTCAAACGCCACTGTGTTATCCATTTAGCTACTGGGTTCGGATAGCCACTCGCTTGTTCAATGGAGGTGAATTTTGATTCATTTGACTGGTTGTTTAAATCGCCCTATCGATGTTTCAACTGATCAACTGCAGTTTTAAACATTAAATGAAAGATTAAAACTACCAATAATAAAAAATTAGTTGACGTCCTAATAAACTACATCCCAGTTTTGATTCTGCAGCATACACCCAATAGATCATTATGACAATACGACGTATTTAAGTCATCTTTATCCCACTTTCAACTTTCTTTTACCACTTGCAAAGTAAAGTTGGTGGCTCATCAAAAATTCCATAGCTTTTAATAAAGTATAAACCTTTTAGAACAACGACTTACTGATCAGCAATATGATATACTTCATAAAGAGATCCTTTAATCCGTTCTGTTTAAAAAATAAAAGGAAAAGCCCATTTTGTCGAAATTCAAACCATTTGTAAATATTCCCCAAAAATTTTAAAGATAACAGTTCTAAGTAATTATTAGCCTAATTTTCAATTATCAGTATCCATTTTTGATTACACTTTCAATATGCATTTAAAAATCAATGTTCTATGGTTCAGGTCCAAACAGATTAAGATTTTAGACTACTTGATTATAAATAAATATCGCACGTTTGT